AAAGAAAAAGCAAACCTGAATAGTGCTCTTAATAACTGGCAGGTGCGTACTGCGGGCTGGGCATGTGTTTCAACTCTATTGCATCTCCCTTTGTGCCCTGAATAATCACAGGGAGTGGGTGATCTTCTTTCCTATTTGCAGATGAGGAAACAAATCCTTAGAGTTTGTCACTTGCTAAAAGTGAAGCAAATGGTGAAGGGCAAATCCAGGGCTCAAGTTCTGGCTCCACAGTTGCCTGCTCACTCGGGTCTCTGCTCCATCCTGGGTCATGATGTCTGACGTTTGGTGCTGGTTTGGGTTGAGATAGTCCTGTTACCAAGTTGAGGAGTGGAAAGCTTGTATACACTTTTGCTCTCGTCAATCATCTTAGCCTTTGGGCTTGACATTTCTCGGGATTCTCAAAGTTCTCACCCCAAACTCCTTCTCTGCCAAAAATCCAGTTTGTATTTCCACCTTGGCTCCTCTTCCCTTTGGTGCCTGGGCTCAAGGGCCATTTCCTCCAAGTGAGTCTTGGAGGACCTGTGCCCCTATTTCTAACCATTGGGCAGGTTGGCCAATCAGTTGCAAAAATTTCCGTTAAGTAGCTGAAAACTTCTTAGTCACTTCATTCTGGTGTGTGATAACATGACTACCTCCACCCAGTGGATTCTTACTGGTGGATTTTTAAGCACCGTGGACAGTTCTCCCACTGTTTAAACACCCCTCCCTGGAGTTTTTGACTATGCTTTCCTTCATGATACATATTGGAGAAACACAGAGAAAAGAGAAATGTGAGGAAAACGGGAGTGAGGGAGGGAGGAGAGAGGACAGTACAAGAGGACAAATTCACGTTGGTAAGTTTTCTTTTCCCCGTCGTAGGAAAGCAGTAATCTGAATTTCTCATTATATGAGCCTCTTATTTTCATCCATAAAGCTGTTCTATCCTATTCTTTCTGGAGTGGAAAAAAGATGTTGCAAAGCCACACACCCTGCCAGCTTGGGATGCAGAAATGATAGGGGACTATCTCAGCAACACAGCAGGAGGAGCGCATGTCAGCGGAATGCAATCAGCCAACGTCAAGTCCAGCGAGGAAAACTCGAGTTAACAACGCCCCTCTGCTTGTGAAAATTGTAGTGGCAGGAGAGGGAAGATGTGTTTGAGAATATAGCCAGTAATAAAGTGCCTCTGCTGGGAGGCAAGTTACGGAAGAGAGACATGGTAGGCTAGATAATAGGGTTTAAGGTCCGAGGGTCTTCCTGACAGAGGCAAGGAAATTCAAGGTGGGGCTGTCGCAGGGAGCCGATGGGTGTAATAAAGAGAGCACAGGCCTTGGAAGGACCTAGGTACAACCCTCTTGCTTTCCACTGTGTGCACCAAGCAAATTCCCTACCTTGAAGAACACTCTAATTCCGGGGCTATAAAAAATAGTGATATTTACCTTGGACAGTTGTTTGATCATACAGTGACATAATATAGCAACAGTTCCTATTACATATGAGTTGTTTAATAGGTGTGCCCCTTTTCTCCCTTTAAACTAAGCCTAAAGTAGTTTCCCCACATGAGCACCACCTGGGTCAGAATTGCAAAGTCAAGATGAAAGCATGGAGCCAAAGAAGAGCTGAAGAGAACCTAACCACATCCTCCCATTTTACAAAGGTACAAAGGAAAACTCTGTTTGGTAGCTAGTGGGAAATTTCCGAGATCCATGCAATGATGTTGCATGTGATGGGTTCAGACAGTGAGGAAGTAAGGGGCTGTCCTGGGGCAGGAGGTCTTGCAAACCAAGTGAGTCCCTTCCCAAACTTCTCTGGATAAGAATTATTAGGCTCCTTCAGGATCCACCACTGATGCACACATCCTCTTGTTTCTGTGACAACCCCTGGATGCGACGTGACCACTCACCGGATCATTTTAATCTTGGATGGCTTCCTTCACCCTCAGGATGCAGGTGGTCTTGGAGGATGGTGGGTTCTCTCCATCTCATGATGCCTGGGCACCAGATTAAGGCACCTGAGACCATCACCTGGGTGCCAGCTTTGAAGCTTAGATGTTATGAAATCTTAAATAATCTAACTGACCCCTCCTACTTCTTATCAGCAAATTTGGGAATGATTGTATTGTCAACCTTAAGAGGTTTATTTTAAGAAATGTGGAAGCTAAACCACAATAAAGGTCCTGGGGAGGGGAAGAAGAGAAGTTCAGGCGATTACACCAAGGTTAAGGACAGGAAGAGAGCGGGGACAGGAATAGGAAAGACAGTGGAAGAAATCTAACATAATTTTCCCATGTACACCTATGAAAAGACCTAAGGGAATCTCACCATCAGGTACACCCACAAGAATGGGGTCCTAATCAGGACAAGATCTATCCCATGCTTGTATAATTTTATCAAAATGGATTCTATTGTCATGTACAACTAAGAAAAACCAATAAAAATAAGAAAAAATAAAATTGGGGAAAAGAAAAAGATCAACTGGATCATACACATGTCAGAGGTGAGGGCCGATTGAATCAAGTTGCAGACATTCTGCAGTTGAGAAAGCACTGTGTGAAGGTCGTCTGTACCTACCTTTCAGTATGAGGCTTGAGTCAGAGTGTCCTGCTGCAGATTGCTCAGGAATTTCAAATTGTGGATGGTTTGGGTGACTTTTGCTTATAACCATGAATGCAGTACTCATTGGGGGAGATCATCCAGGGAAGGGAAAGCCTGTGATTTCTTCTGTGCATCCTGAGTGTCCCAGCACCCCTGGGCTTCCCTCCCTGCCTTCACAACTCATCCTCAGTCCAAGAGGCACGTTGGAGACCACGTGAGCCTCCTGTTGAATTTCTCCAGCTGGCTCGCCAGTCATTGCCCTTGTCTCCTTACTGCCCAAGGAAGCACAGGTGTCACTGGGTCCCCTGTCGGCTGGGTCCTCCTAGGAGACCCACCGGGCACACGTTTGCCCTGTGCTGAATCCCCCAGGTCTTGGGCCATCTGGAGTGGCAAGTTGCCCTTCCCAGGAAGGAGAGAGCAGCGGTAACAGGTGTTAATAAATGCAGATCCGTGGCCAGCGGCCGGCCTGGAGCATTTTATTAGGCAATCATATATTTTCATTAGTGATGGTGATGAAGCACTTAGGTTTTTATGGGGTGTTTTAATGTTTCACTTTGCCACCAGACTTTATCACCCTGCCAGCCTGCTGCCTACCGGGGCAGGCCTTGCCCATTCTTTTCTTCCCTGTAGAAGCATTACAGGCACTTCCTCTACCCAAGCTTCAGCCATAAGATTGCTTCCCATCTGCTTAAGGAGACAGCAGGGCCATTAAAGGCCGTGAAGTCAATGACAAATCCAGCTCATAATTTTTATGTCCTTGTTATAACCCGATGCCCCCCAGAATGCTATCATGAGGTTAATGGTTTACGTGAGGTGGGAACGATCTCCCAGTCTCCCAATGGGCACCTGGCTCTTGGTATAGGGAGCTGACTGAAAATGTCCAGGGAATAGGAAACAGCTTCCCTGTCTGACCTGCAGGAGCAAGGTATTAGAAAGTCTGCTGGAGGTCTTCTAATTACCACGACTCTCCTCATTTGGCACATGAGGAAGGAGAGGCTCAGGGTGGAGAGGAACTTGCCCAAGGTCACCCAGTTAGAGAGGGAACTCAGACCTCAAAGTCCCAGATCAGAGTGTGTCCGCTGGGCTATGTTGCCTTCATCCACAGGCAGGATCCCAGGGGCTTGGGGTGTAGGGACCAACTAGCTGACCCCACTTCCTGCTTTGCAGGTAACAAAGCATCCAGTGCAAGCTCATCCAGTTCCCAAACCAGACAAAACCTGTCTGCTCCCAGGGCCACAGGGAACACAGAATGACCAACATTCCCAGAAAGAACATGATGTCTTCATTAGGAATCTGCAGTTACCAGCATGATGTCATCTGAACACATCTGCAAGACTATTTCTGTGATATTGTGGGTTGCAGAGAAAACAGCATGTGGGGCTTGGAATAACCATTCTGCATTTTGGGGGCAGTGTGGTCAATAGCAGGAACCCAAGCTCTACAGTCAGAACAGCAAGGGTTCAAATCCAGAATCTACCTTGTACCAAGAGATGACAGGAGTGTCAGTTTCCTAATCTGTGAAATGGAGAGAAAAATCGCCCACCTTGAAGCATGGAGAGAATTCCGCTGGGCAGTGTGTGGAAAATGCTTTGTTACTGACATAACAACCACACAATATATGGTAGTTACTATAATTAGTATAATCACATAGAGAGAAAAGCGTTAGGATTATGTACATGACTTTCAAATCTCCTCCATAATGACTGCTTTCCTTGATTTTAAAATGCCTAAGAAGAGCTACACTGGATATGAAGAGGTCAGAAGAGCCCTCTGACTCCAGTCTCTGTAGCTATGGATACACAGATTCTCACAATATAAAAGGGTTAAAAATAAATTAGTGGAGGTGATTTATTAGAGAAGGGCCTGGGTAAACTGGAAAGTTGGCTTTCAGAAAAGGATCCAAGGTGAAAGAATAAAAGAAGAAATCAAGGCTGCTCCTGAATGAAACTCCTTTGTCTTAAGTACTTTGCACACTACACGGTATATGATTGGTGGCCAACAAATGTTAGGAGACACTTAAATGAAGCAGACTGGTGGACCAGGGAAGATGTCCCTGTCCTCTTTTAATAAGAGAGCTGCAGGAGAAAGTTGGGAGCCAAGGAGAGGATCCCTTTAGAGCCAAGAGCCCCAATGGTTAATTGTCGGGAGGAAAGAACACTACTTCCATCTGTAGCCCCTACATCCATGTAATCTTTCTGTACCATTCTAAGAGACTTAGTTTCAGAAAATATCTCCTGGAATCCCTTCATGACAACTTCTGAGGATTGGTTAATAGATGATGTCATCTTGTGCCTGCCCTGATTACTTATAAAGGACAGACCACTTAGAGATAGTCTGCAGACCCAGACACCTCACTTATAACCACTGACATCTAAGCCTTTCCCCAAAGGAACCTGGAGGAACTCACAGAACTCCATCTTTTGCACAGGGCTCTATGACATCATCAGTCTTGGAAACTTCACTCAAGTGTTCCTAATCCTTCCGCCTATCGTCCTTTAATTCCTAGAAAGTGCCAACTTTAATGGTTATGGTCCCACCTACCTGCCAACTGGGGACCTGACCCACGGGCAGGAGGCTGACAGGGTTCCACTCCCAGGTTGCTGACGGGAGCCACTAACGTCCTTCAGTGCACCTGCTCATTGCATTGGCCTCTGGACCAGGGTTGCTGATCCTCTCTATGTGGTACCAGGAGTCTTAGCCCTTCTGATCTCTAATGTTCTCTGTCCTCTGATCATTATCCATTGTGGCACCTTTTGTAAAACCTCACGTATCTCCTCAGGAACATGGGATGCTCTTTAAAGCTCCATGCAGGAAATTCAATGGTTCGCCAGAAAGGAAGTTCCGTAAGTGACACTATTCTTCTGGTCCCGAGGGAATGCTTTCCATACTGACATCCGATGGCTCAGCTGTGCTTTGGCAGACTTGAGTGTACCCCTCTGCTCTCTTCCTTTCCCGTGCCAGTGCTGTGTGTAGAAAGCGGTGAAGCAGAAGGATGAACACCTAGTTGGAGAATATTTTGCAACCTGTCTTTATTTTCTTCCATTTGGGACAAATAGACAAAGGCGCTCTCCCTAGAAAAGGCACTTGACTCTCAGTGGAAGACGAGCATGGGTTATTATTTGCTCTTGATTGGATTAAAGCACCTCCTCATCCAACCTTCTAAATGTTCATGATTTCAAGTAGCAGTGTGTAAAAAAATACATGCAGTACGATAACTGGTCAATGATGTTTGTGCAAAAGTAGATGAGCTGTCTATGAGTGTTTGAAAGCTGGTGACAAAGATGGACCTGTCCAATCCTTTCCAGGTTTTCACTGGCACAGGGACTTCCTAACAACAGAGCCACCACAGAAACTGAGAGCTTTCTAAATCTCAGAAAAGAGAATGTTAGATGGAATATGCCGCTTTGATTTTTATTTTTCTACAACATACTACCAACTAAAGTCAAAAATTCAGCCAAACTAGCAGTCTGAAGTGTGCAAGAGGCATTTATTGATTTGCCCTGGCCCTTCTTCCTTCAGGTACTGGGTTAGTCTGGTTTCTGTTGCTATAATTGACTGCCACAGACCAGGTGTTTATAAAGAATAGAGGTTTATTTGGCTCTCAGTTCTAGAGGCTGGGAAGTTCAAGAGCACTTCACAGGCATCTGGCGAGAGAGCCTTGCTATACATCATAGCATGGCATAGGACATCACGTGGTGAGACAGCAAGTGCTTTACCAGGTGAAGGCTTCCTCTCCTCCAACACCAGACCTCTCAAGTCGCCCTTCCTTCACCTGACATGCATGCTCAAGAGCTTCTCCTTCACCAGCTACAAACAGTGCAAGAAATGCATTGTTCTTCTAAAATATCCTTCCTTGGTGTCCATTAGTCTTTCCTTTCGTTCCTTTCTGCTCTCCATATCTAAGACTGCAGCTAGCTCCTCTCAGTCCCCAGAGTAAACTTCTTACTTCTGTCTCTGATGTGAAGATGCAAGTATTTTCTGGTCCAGTAGTTAAATTTTTGCTGACCAACAAAAATCCAAATCCCAAGCCCTTAAGGGTTATGCAAATACTCTGAATGTGTGAAGAAAGCTAGCTACAAAACAGTAAGGTATACACATCTGCATTGCCTACATCCCTGGAAAATGCATGCCCCACTGAAAGACATTTGAAATGATTTTTTTTTCCTATCACGCAGGTCAAACAAAACATATGTGCAGTTTAAGTTTGCAACACCTGAGATAAAGTACCTGATACAATCCCTAGCCAAGGGGCATGATAAACTATCACCCCCATTTTTTTTCGGGATGTGGATTCCTTAGCTGACAACATTGTAGAAGTAACTATATATTATAAAAGTTTGAGCAAAATATGTACAAATACTCCTAAGTATATGTAAGCACAAAGTGTCATAAAACACATCCCAGGAATTCAAGAAAGGAGGAAATTATTTTATTTAAAAGATCAAGAAATGTTTGCCACATGAGCATAACTCAAGAAAAGAGAGGGTGGCCCTCATCAACTTCTAACAATGTTTGGTAGTCAAAACATATCATTGTCTTGTGCTCGTTTTTTTTCTTTCTGTTCATTTTCTAGGTATTCATGAATCTCGCTGGCATTTGTTTCTGACTTCTCCCATCCCTTCAAGAGAATACAGATGCTAATTGTTCCATT